TTTCACAAAATTTGTCTTGGTGTGACCTAAGACTTCGATTGTATTCACCTTACCATCGATAAACACTGGTCCTTGATGAAGCTTCATCGGCAAAAATTAATTTGAGTTCATCGATGCACTGTTGCTGAGGTTATCCACGTCAAAAGTTGTAAAAAATTAACGCGCGAAAATGTTCGCGATTTAATTCCATTTTTTGGCCGAGATGAATATTTTAAGTTACTGTAAACAACACTAATAGCGCTCGTATGTCCAAACGTTCGAAGTATGTATAACATTAAAAATGTCAAACTATACAATAAAGTTGTCTGGTGCCAGAGTGGGTTGCCAAATCCCAAAATATAAAAGGCAACCTACGTAAAAATAAATACATACGAGCTTGTAAATAGCAAATAGAGGAGTTTTGATTAGTTTTAGATTTAGACAAATAAATGATTAGAGTCTCCATCACGCTGCCTTGATAATGAAAGATCACCTTCAGCAACCGAGTTTACCAGTAAGACATACCAAAATGACTGTTGGGCGAAATCGTCGATGTTGAATCGTATTAGTTCCTTATGTCAAATACACCAATTCCTTTGAAGTATGTCAATATAAGTGGACATATTGCCCCCAAATCATTGAAACAACATAGGAGGGTCAATTATTAATGATACATCAGTGTTTATCAGGTGCGTTTGTAAAGAAAAGAGGAATGAATCTTTAAAAACCAATCTTTTTTCTCGACAGGTTTTATAGATCTTTTCAATAATATATAGTTAAAAACAAACAAATTTAATTTTAGAATCAAACTTCTATCTAATGTGAAGCGAATATATTCAGGACGACCCCACCACACAATCTGTAAAAGGTCTACTGACAGAACTGTTCAATCAAGATCGAAAGTGCGAAAAATGAGCTTTTCCTGGGCAATTTTGACATCTTTTATCCAAAAAGGATGGATTATATTTGAGACAGTCAGTAATACCCGGTTTCGATACCCGATTACCATCCAAAGCGCTGAATGTATTTTTTTTACCGCAATCGATGCATCGGAATCAAGATATGGATGGATCGAAAAAGACTGACCAAAATGCAGAATTTCTTAAAATTATTTCTGCAATGTTTTTACAATTAAACAACCAGATGATTGGATTTCGAGTATAATAAAGTGTAAAGCTTTACTGCAAATAGATATGTATGTATGTATGTATGTACATAAATACAAATATCATGCAATTAAAATAAACACTGTCAAAGTTCAATCGCTCTACCCAGTATCGGCTGTTTATCTTTCTTCTATACATAACTACAGTAGGCTAACACTGTCTTTCAGTCGTCGGCTATGTAAACCCAATGGAAACTTTGTACATCGATCACACATACATCATGTACATATGCTAACACGTGTATTTTATGCAAAGTTTGTCAATTCCAATTACATGCTCATGTCAACAACTAAACACTGCCGAGTCACTCAACATGGCATACCCCCAACGACTGCTGATCATCGTAGGCAATAACAATCGACACGTCAAGTCTAAAGTTCACATCTATATATGGTATGTATGTGTGTCTGAGTTCGTAGCGAAGACAGCCCTGCCGACCGGAATGAGCAACAAGTCACCTGTTTGTCGTGTGCATGAAGTTTAGTCAGCCAGACGGTGAAATAGTGCAGAGAAATGTTGAAAGTGGTGTTATGTATGCATTGATATATAAATAGCACGTAATCCCCGCAGCGAATGACTTTGCGAAAAAAGTGAGAAATTGGCAGACCATAGAAATGTGTCACAAATAATTTCGCATGTGTTTGTATGTATGTCCATATGTAGGAATTGTTAAATATGTATTTACATATGCTCATATACTTACATACATATTTACTAATTCGAAAAGTCATTTGATTTTATGTGATTTAAATTTCGAGAGAATTAAAGCTTTATGATAACAAATAAGTTTATGGCCAAGAATTGACTTTGATTATCTGTGGGCAAACACTCATAAATTTTTCGGTAGGTGTGTACATATAATGTGTAAATTTTTAACGACATGAATAAATAATGAGCTGAAGATCAGCAAGTCGCGTGATATATGCAAGTCATGCTGATCTACACGCCTTCGCATGGAATTAAGCACATACATATGTATGTATGTATGTACAAATGTACGAGGTTTGTTCGATAAGTGCTTAGCCTCACCGATCGTTGGCGCTACTAATCCAAGAGAAATTTCAGCTAAATCGTACTGGTGGTTCATCGCCGCCACGTAAGCTTACTTTAAAGACCCGCAGAAAACTTACTTTGAAACGGTTTAGAGAAGTTGAAGAATCGATGGGTCAAGTGTATCTTGTCAAAAAGTTGAGAAATAAATCGTAACTATTGGCCCATTCTCGTATCAAAGGATATATTTTTAAATTCTCACTAGAAAAAAAGCCATATATAAATTTGGGTAAATATTATATATATATGTATACATATATATATTTACATATCAACAAATGTATCTGTTTAAAGTCCATTCGACGCCTTCGCAATTGTAAATTTTGTAGCGCTGAGCTGGCGGCCAGACATGGCTATCATATGTGGAAGTTCGAAAAGCTGGTTGAACTGCTTGGAGGGAGGAGGCAGGGGAAGAGCGCACGTCTGCAGCTATGCACATATGTATGGTATATATGTATATGTATATATAAATATATCACATGCTAGCAACGCATGGCTGGGCATTTCGCAAAACGGTTTAGTGGCGTAAAATACATACACGTTTACGTGTGTATGTATGTATGTATATGCATACAAAATAGCCGGTAAATTGGCGCGATGAATCAGTGACTTTGTGTCGTCAAACTAGAACGGTTACCCATGCATATACATACATACATATACGTATGTATATGCTTTATATGTAGATATGTTTATATTTCTATGGCATTTGTTGTATAACTGTGTGCATTTGTTATTGTATTGAATAACTTTGAACACGCCAATTTCTAGTTCCAACATTTATTTTTTTTTTGTTTTGTTTTTTTGGCTTTAATCTGCTTGTTTTTGGATTTTTCGAATATGCCGATAAGAATTCAAAATCGAGCTGGGTTTTTCAACGCAACAATAACAATACATTTTGAATTCTTGGTAAAGATTTATTTGTTTTGTTTACTTTTTCAGGGGAATAGCAGCTTGGAGCTTTTGTGCTTATTAGCTGTGCGTGTTTGTTGTTGTGGTCCTCATTTGGATAAATGCTTTAACTGGAAAATCAACATTGTGACGCACTTTTCTGCGCTCAAGATAAGCTTGCTGTGCATAGCGTGTACATATGCATATGTATGTATATATTATGGTACATATCCAAATGCCCGAATCCACGACTTGGTGTAAACAGCTTAAGTAAAGTACGGCCTTAATGATAAGCAGAGAAAAAAGAAACACAATGCGAATATAATTTTAGTAAAATAAGGGGAAATACAACATTAATTATATCTTCCAATTAGCGGTCTTTGATTTGCTAAAGTTTGAAGAGTGGCGAACCGAACAAACAACTGGTATAAAATGAACAGACTGGCATAATTGGGCATAGATAAAATTGAAATATGTTTAGTCGCTATAAATATTTATATACTTATGTATTTACATATACTTTTACATGGAAGAAGGAACATAATAAAAGCACTAATAAGAAGGGTTAGATATAAATATTTATATTTAATACACCGGAAATATTAGGATAATGAATTGAGTCGGTCTAGTCATATATGTATGTATATATGTGAGGAGTTATGGTCGGTTTCTTTGTTTACCGGAGGTCAAAACAGTCTACTAACTAACTGCAATTTCATATTTGACTTTTTTCTATATATTAATTATTAATTAATTATTGTTTTTCAGCATCGAGCAGATCGAACAACTAAATTATATTACTTTCATATAACATATTGATATAGTGAGTCGATTTAGACATTAGTTTAAGATATTGATCTGAAATTTTGCACATTTATCTTTTTTTTCCAAAAAGCTGCTTATTTTTCGGAACCGCAAATATGGAACCACTAAAGTATATAGCTGCCATACAAAATGAACGATCGGAATCAAGCGCTTGTAGGAACATTTTTTTTATTTTTCAAGATATTTTCACAAAATTTGGCTCACCGAAGAAATTGTTCAGATCGGACCACTATGGAATATACCATATGTAGCTGTCTAACAAACTGACCGATCAAAATAAATTTCTTCTTGGAATCTTTTGTATTTGTGAAGCTCTTGTTTTTTAATATATATATTTATAACTTATCGTTCAGAAAAACGCAAAAACTTTGTTTTAACCTTTGACCTCGAGTATATTTTCTCCACATATCGGAATGTTGAGAAGTTTTAGTAAGTTATTTTTAAACGTGCTTTAACATATTTACAAACTTTCAGCTTGTTGTAAATTTATGTAACTTAACTCTTATTTTCTTTATTTTGACTGGAATATTTAATCTTTACTACTATTCATCGAATATTTTTCCAACATAAAATAGTAGAAATACGAAAAAAATATTTATATATTATATTAATTGTTTTATTATATATTTATGTATGTAACACAATCACTACCCAGGGACTCCTTTCAAATCAACTAGTTCCCAATAAAATTCCCAATATTATCTGGGAATGCATCTTAGTCAGTGTTAATCGTGTACTCTTTTCTTATATTCGTGTCTTTTGTACTGTCATGTACTTTTTTTTACATTTTAAAGCTAGAGTAAAGTACAAATTCGACAGCTGTTATGCTCGTAAAGCTAATTAAATGTTAATATACATAATTAAAATTAGTAGATAGTGACCAAAATGACTGGACATCTTTTTAATTAGCACACTTGCAAAGTATTTTATAAACACGGCTCAGGTTTTAAACACATACATTTTTATTCTACAAATATAATATCGTAATGTAGAAATTATATTACAAAATGCAAATATCACTGTTTTAAATAAATTTTCTAAGACTATTGTACAATATTGAAATACAATTTTTACTTTTGAAAAACTTACGCCTATTATATCCTTCAGTAAGCCGAAACTAACCCAGAAAGTTTGTTTGTAAAGAAAACACACTTCAAATGAGACAACTTAGACATTTCTTTAACAAATCAAGCTCTGGTTTCTCATTTTTATCCGAGAACAACTTTTTGTCTCCCAATAATCAGCACTGATCAAGAAAAGTGATTAATGAGTGTTTAATTATATCAGTCAACGAGTAAATGGTTTTTACGTAAAATGAGACTTTTTCCCGTAAACCACAATAGCAATGAGAGAGAAACATACATATGTACGTGTATAAGTATTTTACTGCAATATCGCTTACTTTATATAAGTGAATGATTTAGCGGTTAATATGGTATGTTTTGTGGAAAGGTTTCCAAGCTAAACGTTTTAGAGATTTATAAATCAAGTTAATGGTGAACATAATCTAGCTGAGCGAATGTATCAGAAGTAACGATTTTGGTTTGGAGACCGAAGACTCCAGGACGTCCAAAAAATATTGAAGATGAGGAACTGGAAGCATTACTTCATAAAGATTGTTGCCAAACACAAGAGTAGCACGCAGAACCTTTGGGATTCACTCAAGCAGCTGTTTAAAAGCAGACGCATATATTCAAGAGCAAGATAATTGAGTGCCAAGAGACATTGAAAGACGATTTTGTTTGATAGAAAGACTGCTTGAACGCTTGATGAAAAATGGATCTGTATTTTGTGGGATCAGTGTTGTATTATAAACTTCTAAAGCCGGGTGAAACCACCACTAATAAATAATAATTTTGAAAAAAAGCATAAGAAATTTACAGAGTTATTCACACATAAATAATAGCTTGATAGCATAAGGATTATTAGAAAAAGTATGATATCTTAGTGAATTAGTGTCAGCAGATATGTACTTGTACTGTGTACTCTCCAATCAATGTCTTTAATTTTTGATGTAAGCAGTAAGAGCATCATTCTAAATGAAACAAGTACAAGAAGTTGTTTATTAGTGATTAAAGCGGTGTTTCATGTTCAATGAGAATCAGGTCACTCTTCTGCTTCATTTTATAAGAGCGAATGAACCCAGTCGTTGAATTATTGCGATTTAAAGTGTACATTTTTGGTTTCGTACTACTATTCCGATATGAAGAAAAACTGATGTATATAATTTAATATACATTATTTGTGTAAATATGTAGTGAATTTGAATTTTTTCAGATAAGACTTGTTTTAAAAAATTGTTTAAAAGCCGTCTCCATGACAGCCAAGTCCGCTTAACCGAAACCCAACTGAGACTTCTATCTGGACAACAGCTACCAAGACTCCATCAAATTATTTGGGATATGTTTTCTGCCGCTTAAATAGCAACCACAACATGAGTAAACAATTAAAATACTTACTCTCGTTTTTACTAACTATTACTCTCGAATTTCGAAGCTTTTAGAATAAAAAAAAAATACTTTTCAAAGCAAAATCGTTATAATATTATATCATAATATGAAATAATAAATTGCATGATATGCTATACAATATGAAAGTGATTATGCACATATTAAGCGCCAAAACAATCGATAACAAAAATGTAGCACGTTTATATTGATCACTTGATACAGTATTTTGCGAAAAAAAAATGTTTTTTGTTTATTTGATTAAGAAAATATCATAATTGCTTTCTGCCTGAAAATGCCATTTTTGGCGTTGATTGCTATCAAAAATGCTTTTTCATAATCGGTTGCTATGCGATTTTTAGTAGTATTATGCAATATTTAAGCGAACCCGCCTTCGCAAGATAAGGTAAGAGCCAAACACGTGAATATTATTAATATAATAATATTAGTCAGTGAAGAAAGAAAAATTAAAAAAAAAAATTAAAAAAAAAAAATTAAACAAAAAAAAAATATTATATAAAAAAAACATTTAAAAAAATTAGAAAGTTCAGCCAGTTTCAATGATATTTCATCACTCTCACAAAATTCGCTTTTTGATAATGCAAAGGTAATCTAGTATGGAATTTTTGGCAGCCAAAGGAGGTGGGCAAAATGAACTTGAAAACGGCAAACGATTCAAAGCATAGCGAATAATCCAACAATCCAAAACCCCAGCCCCAAATTGTGAAGTAAAAAATTAATTTTTTTTTTATATTAAAACATGTTTTATTTATTTATAATGCTTGATTTTCTCTCTTGCGTTAAATTTACTGCTCTTCATTTTCTTTTCTTGTTTTTTTTTTGTTTTTGCTTTCATTTTTTTTAACTTAGAGTTAATTACAATTGTTGCCTTGGGCACATTAATACCTTCTTTTACATACAAGTATAACGGTATTATAACTAACCCGAATCATTTCTAGCATGCAACAAAAAGCTAACATAACAAATAATTAACAAACATTTTAAAGTGTTGAGACTTCTATCCAATTAGTTTAGTATAAAGTATAATTTGTTACTATGCAACTGCTAAGTATTTAACAAATTTTACAAACAATTTCTAGCGCTTTTCTTCATACACAACTGACTGCTTAAAATAATTTAAAACAATTACTCAGTTTCAGTATCAGCTTCAGCTGCGTTAAGGTCAACATCTTTCATTTCATGAAACTTTTTAAGTACTTATACATGTATTTTTTGCGCACACTGTAAATTATGAGTTTGCATAACGCATTTTTTGCTATTTCGCTCATATTTTGCTATTTCAATTAATAACCTATTCAGAGTTACAATAGATATATTTTGTTTTTGCTAATCTTACTTGAGCTAGACAGTTTGTTTTATTAAGACTATAAAATATAATTAGCAACAAAGCCGTTTAGTTGCCGCCATCGCTGCTGCTGGTAGTGGTGTTGTTATGACTGTTGATCTTAATCTGACTTCCTCAACGCACGCGCCACACACGCACACGCACATGTACACAATGACTGAGCGTCAGAGCCCGGTTTGGGTGCGTGCCGCGTACGAAATCCGGCGTTGCATTGTTGGCGGCGGCGTCGGCGGCGCGAAGGTCACTTGCTGCTGACGACTTTGTCTTATATGATGCTATTAATGTTGTTATTGCTGCTGCCAGCTGCTGGGGGCGTACAATTCATGTGTGTGTGTCGTTTGTTTTGTTGATTTTCGAAATTAATCGCCATTAATTTCTAATACTTTTATTATTTCGTTAATATGACTGGAATGCCAGAGGCGGTTGCAGGCCTCGCATGCGTTATTCGTATCGTTATTATACAAAATTTACATGCGACGGCATCGGCACCGCATTCCTCGTTGTTTGCAACTTCGTTTCGTCAGTCGCAACATTCCAGTTTTAAGATTTTCGATTTTGATTTTTTTGGTCACTCGGTTTCTCCTTCTTTCTTCACTTGGTTTTCGAACGTAGCAATGTCGGCGTTATGTTCCAGACATCATACACGCTCGTTGTGTTTTTAAGCCAAAATTGAATTTGGTATGTTTTCAAAATTTCACCATACGAGAAGTTATGCAATAAAATGCTTCTCAGTTAAAAAATATTCGACACGTCCACACATTCACACGACTGGCAATTCGACAATGGGGTGTTGTGGCGCATCCCAGTATGCCTCACAGTAATCAACTAACTGCTCTTCTTGCTTGTTGAGTTGCTCCTCGCCGGACTCATTGGCGCCGGTCCAGGTCTTCTGCACCAGACAACAGGATTCCACCACAGTTTTGCCGAGAATGCGGCTCAACTTGGTGGGGCAATCGACTTTGATCACATAGATGTCGTTCTCATAACAGAAGGCTTCCAGCAGCACTTCATGCATGTGTGTGGCAGAGTCGCCGACTTGTGGCACGGCCATTAAGCAGAAGAGTGAACCCTCCGGTGATTTGGAGAGCACTTGTATGGCGGCGCTAAGTCCCACAATGACACGCGACTCGGCTTGCGCCTTCAGCAAGGCCGACTTGACGGTGCGTCCGATTTTTCCGTGATCCATTTGTTTGGTCTGTTGTTTCTTTTCGCTGAGACTCTCAAGCTGCTGTTCCAGGTTGATGTTGCTCATGACTTGGCTGTTATTGAAATGCTGGATATGCGATTCGTCTACAACCATTTTGTATGAAGAGTAGATGTGTTGCTGTGCGTATGGCGGAATTTTCACGCTTTTGTTGGCGCTTCGGTTTGAAGTTGTGTGGGTCGCTGGCGACTTCACTTGCTTGCTATGGTTGGTTAAGGTTTGCGTTTTGAAGACGCACGCGATTTGCTTTGACTTTGACAACGTTTGCACTTTGGAGGACACTTGTTGCTTTTGAGTTCTTTCTTTATTGTTGTTGCTAGTGTTCTTAAGCACTTGCTTTGTTTTTGTTTTTAGTTTTGCTTTATTTGATATTAGTTCTTTTGATTGACCCTCTTTTTTTGTATTTGTTGGGGTGTGTTATCACTTTTGGTTTGCTTTTGTTTTTGCTTTTTCACCGCAAATTTCACTTTGTAAAAATGTCTGTTTTTTGTTTTTGCTTTAACACAATTTGTTATGAAATTCTGTTTTGCTTTGCTTTGCTTTGGTTTCACTTGGCTAGTAAGTAAACGCGTATGCAATTTATTCCGTTCAAGCGCTCTTTTGACTTGCTTCAATTTTGATTTGTAATTTCACAATGAATGCTCCGAAACGCCAGTGCGGTCGCTTTTATACTAGCGCTCTCAGTGCTGATTGCGTTTCCATTGAATTTCATCAGAAATGGTACGAAAAACATTTGCATTGCGCTCCCTCCATAAGGTCGTAGGCTCTCTCGCCTTTACCACAGCTAGCTGATAAGCGTCGTTGGGGAGCCACATGTGGCTCCAAGCTGACGGTGATTTTTTGCGCTCGCTCACTCGCTCTCACTCGCATTGAGGCATTGCGCAGCAAATACAAATTGCTTGGGGTTTTACGTTCATTATTTACTCTCAATTTGATTTTATTTTTGCATTTTTTTTTCTCTTTTATTTTTTGCCATATGTAGTTTCCGAGAATTTAACGAAAATCGTAAAAATAATATTCGCGACGCGCATATCAGTTAATTATGCGCGAAATTTTGTTGGTCACGCGTAAAAATCTGCTCCACTTCTTGACTTCTTTTGGGCTCTTGGCTTTGACTTTTGATTTCTCTACCGAAGCTGTGGCGCTCGTGTCTAACTCCAGCTGCCGCTGCTCAAACTTCATTGTGGTTCCCACCTGCATGTGATTCTCCAGCTCGCTGGCTTGTGATCTGTTGGTTCATGTGAAAAGTTTTTGCGCCACACCAAAACCCGCAGCATCTCAAGCGCTTCATATGAAATTTAGTCTTATTCATTCAGTGTTTTTGGGATTTTCCGCTTTTTACCTGTTTAAAGTTTACGTTGCAACCAAAAAGCACCTTACGTTAACGAGTTTTTTAATTATATTTTGTGCCTCTTAAATATGTGTTGGCATTTGCGCGCGCAGCTACCAACATGATAAGATTGTTTAGCTCTTTTTTCTAATGTTAGTACCTCACTTCTAAATCTCTCCGCATAATTTTAGTAGTGTTATTATCTACAAGTAGTTATGTAGAGCGCCATATGATTATTAAGTGAGAGTTTAAGTGATATTACATACATTAATTGGGAATCTAACTTAAATGAGGGGTAGCGCGGAGTTTTTTAAATATATCCATAATAAATAGTATAAGATGGTTAAGACAATCACATTAATGTGTTTATTTATAATTAAAAGAAAAAATGTTTGGCAAATAATTCAAAGTATTTTAAGCAAAATATGTATGGATTACAGACTCAAATCTATATTATACATACTTATATCTCATATTTTATCTTGATGAAAATTATGTAAACTATATTTAACTCTTTTATTATTTATAAAACAGGCATCTATTAAGGTTCACAGCCAGACCTCCAGTAAAAGATTAACAATGGGCGGGTATATATAAATGATGCGCACATCTTAATTGGTTAGAAAAAATTTTAAAGCTTTCATGTTCTAAAAATATTCAGTATTAATTCACTTCCGAACGTTTTCAGAGACTTAAAGCAGTCTTCACTTTGTCTTTCTTAAGCAGTGGTGGCATTCCTCCCTCCTTGATATTACCAGCTGATTCCAAGTTCAATACATTCAGAGCTAGCAGTCTGCAAGAAGACATATCAGTGTTTTGATTATTGTACGACGTTATGCGACATTAAGGAATGTCTACGAATATGTGATATAGAAAGCTAATTTTGTTCGTCGATAGATGAAATTTCTTCTTAGCCGCCTACTTAGTCTTATTCCAAGAAAAACTCTCAATAGTGGCCTGTGTGCTAAGTGTGCTGAGTGTTTACTTGATGACAGCAAATGTTTCAGATTCGATGGACAAAAGTTGTAACTTCAGGGAAAAGGCGTTTGGTAATCAAAAGAACATCGAACAATTTGCTTCTGGAGATATTGTAAGACTCTTAAGGTAATCAGGGGAGTGGTTTGGGTGTGTGAGTTGTCTTGGTGGTTCAAGAGTTTCGGGGTCACAAATAGCTTAAGGCATTAGATAATTTCTTTAAAATATAGTAGAGGTAGCAGTCTTCAAATATATATACATATATGTACATATATACATATGTCTCCACAAACATTGCTATATAAAGACATATATAACTTTCCCACAAATATATAAAAGGAAACTTTTTAATCACTAAAAAGTAATTAGCGTCCAAAAATAAAATGTTGCTCTTACCTTCCAAGAAGTGATATTAAGTTCATAAAAAAGATAAAAGTCTGTGGAAAAAAGACAATTCATACATTTTCGCGAAACCGAAATTATTTTGGCCGCTGGCATGATCCACAGGTTACTTGGAAAAACAACAAAGATCGAGAAGGAACTTGTATCGTCTTTGGCGATTTGTGGAAATATGAAATGGAAAATATGGCAGTATTTATGACTTTGCACACACATACACTCAAGAGTGCATACAAATTGAGTGTATTCCACAGTTTATTAGCCCATATTGAGAAGGCAGAGGTGAATAATTTTCACAATTTCTTTTTTTTTTATTTTAACTGTGTTTTTTTCTGCTTAAAAGACTGGGTGCAACACACATACATGTTGTATACCTATGATTTTCCGGGCATCAGATGTGAGCAATAGCACGTTTATTGACCATGCCCGCTCGGGTTGGTTTGCCTAGTTGGCGCAGTGCCAACAGAGCGGACGTCGATTGGTAGCACCTCGGTGGATGTTGGCTGGCACTAATGGGTGTCAATTGTTTATAGGCTGTAAAACGTATTCTTCGTTTTTTTCATGTCATTAACAGTGGTACTCGTTAATTTATTTTTATTTGCTAAGGAAAAAACGGTGGTTTGTGTGGGAAATTGTCAACTTTTACTTTCTACTCATTTGTTTCGCGTTAATTTTATTTTGAGTTTAGATTTTCAGAAAATCTTGGCACAAAAAATCTTTTAAGATTTCATTGAAAAAGTGTGAATGCCTTTCACCAGATTTGAGTGTTTGATAGATAATTTAAAAATAGTCAACACGCTGGGGGTTGTCTCACAACGTTTTTGGAAGATGTGAACATATGTAGGTATAATAGTCACATAATTTTTATTTAAATTATCAGCAATAAAAAGGCGAATAATAAATAATAATTAACCAAAAATAGTGGAATAAATACAAAAAAAAAAAAACAAAAAATTAAAACAAGTATTTGTATTTACTTATTGTATAACGAACTGATGTAGCGATGATACTAATTTTCGGTATCAGCCAACTTTATGTCAAGGTTAACATATATATACAAGTATGAATGTATGTACATATGTATAAACCTTTCGCCTACTTAAGGGGTCAGGCTAGTTTAGACAGCTTAAAGAATGCCTAACTATAATAATTTTTGCAATGGCGGCTACTGAGCTAGTCTCCGATATATCGTGTTTTAAGAGTGTGATTCTAGAGACTCTTGATACCTAGTTATTAACAACGGAATTTTAATCTAAAAAGAATTTGCTAGAAAAGTAGGTGTGCTTTTAGGTTTGACGTAACAGTTGGAAAATTAAAATGCTTTGCGATTAAATGAGCAGCAAATTATTCATAAACAAGTAAGGAAGCGCTAAGTTTAGCTGTTATCGAACATTTTTTTACTCTTGAAAGTCTCAAAGGTGGAAATATACCTTCAGGTGCCAGTGAAACTTTACATTAAAAATGTTGCGAAAGAACTTAAGAGCTCGACGAAAACGTTAATCATCTTCAAATCAGATACGAGATCAATCGTATATGTGATATATATTCAACCGAAGAGGTTAAATTTAATATATTAGGTTGATATGGAGAACGTCAGTCAGAGGTTCGGAATTCATTATTCATTATATTAGTGATAACAGGTTTAGACGAAGGTCTAGACTAATTCCATTCATATTCAGTGAAAAACCGTTCACTTTACAATTTTTAATAAAACTTGTCCACTTAATTTCATTACAATATCACACATTTTGGCCAACTTAAATGTTTTAAAGACAGGTGGAAAAGTCGGAAATCATTATGTAGGATATATTGGGGGTAGAAAAGGTCTGGGTTTGTTGCATTAACTTTTGACATTGCTCTGGTATACCCGAGAACATATTTTCAACCAATTTTATAAATATATAACTTACACACTGGCCGTCGTATTCGGCAAAAGGTTTGTTAGAAGGTACATAGGATAGGGTTATTTATGGAACAACACATTGGGCAAATAGCCTCTACGGCTTTCCATACACATACGCATTCGTTTGGCGAAATTTTCCATGACTACTCTGCATAAATGTGGCTGAATTTCATTCATGCAACGTTGAACTTTCTTCATTAAAGTACGCGTGGTTGTAAGCTTGTTGCAATAGAACTCTGATTATAAATAACCCCATAAAACTAAATCTAATGGTGCTAAATCATACGATCTGATCTGACCCAAGCGCTGGATAAGGAAGTTGTTTGCTATGTTTGCCGGCTTGAAACGTCCAGACGGAAACATCGGAGATCCTATAAAGGATATACATAAATGATCAGAGTGACGAGTTGAGGTGATTTAGTCATGTCCGTCTGGGTGTAATGCGCGAACTAGTCGCTCAGTTTTTGAGATATCGATTTGAAGCAGTAAGCAAGCTGCCATATACAATATTTTTAAACCCATCCCAGCTTTAGTTCGGAATGAAAATTTCTTGAGACATATTCGGTTCAAATATCTGAGCAGAGTTTAAATAATATCAAAGTAAGCGGTGTCAAATACATGGTTACATTTTTTACATACAAAGCTTTAAATAATATCGTTATATGGAAGTTTGGCTGCGGTATTATGACAATTTAGCTTCTGGTAGTATTTGACCGAGCTGTCTTGATCATTTTTCGACACATTTACATTAAGAAACATCGTACTTGAAATAAATTTTAACGATATACCTAAGCCTTTGTCTGTAAAATTTCAGTTTCGAAGAGTCATTCTGAAAAAGTGGTGTTATTGATTGACTACCTATACTTTGAAATGTGATATTCTTTAATATGAAATATGCCTGTTTTGTTAACACAGAGGGTTGCCATTCCGCTATAAAATATGGCACACCCTGTATATAGCTCAAAATTTACACCTGGTATTTCAATGTATTGTAAACAATCTTTGCTTGAAAATCCAACTATTTACGTTGCAACATTTTGCGAGAGCACAAAATGTATTTACAATACAGCCAATTTTAATGCAATTTCTAGCAACGCAATTTCGCATTGAAAATAAACACATTCCAACCATACACGCCCAGTATATTTAACATTTCAATAACCCAAATTTATTAGCAAATTTTCTAGAAGAAAGCCAAATGGGCCACGTGCATTTGTTAGATACAATAACAATTGCTGTCGCGTAGAGTTCATTACCAGAAGTTATCGTCGGACATTTGTATCTCATTTTCCACAAGTTATCGCTGAGTTATGAGAAACGTGCGCAATTTTCAAGATAAAATGCACAGCAAACAAAAAGGCGCACTTACACAAAATAAGAAGGGGTATTTGTGCCTCACACTACCATTATTTGATATATTTAGATATGTATATATATAGAATTTACATATTAACACTCATTCATTCACCTCGGCGCATTTGACATTTTTCGTGCTCTCCCTAATTGTTTACTTCGATTTGCAAGGTGTGTATGTATGCATGTATGTATGTGTTTGTACTGCATGAAGTCGCACCTCAAGTAGCCGGCATTTTCGGGCATCGCGGCCTCGAAATGACACTGTTGATAAACAAACCGCAGCAAGATCGACGGCCTTTTTTGCTTTCTAAGGGAGCACTTACATGTGTATGTATGTTTATGTGGTGTCAAAAGCAGAGCAAAGAACTCGTAAACAAAATTTTACTATCAGTGTTGCATACCGACATGCCGATCTACATATTAGCACATACGTTGATCGCGTGCAAAAACAATAACAACTTTAAGCAGCGTAATAATAATAAAAATAATAAAGAAAAAAATACTTTCAACTACTTGGCTTGTTGTTGAACCCAATTTTAGTCGGAAATGTGGCAATGTGTTGCGGTCAAAGTCACCACTTAGGCAATTTCACACCTTAAATGGCAAATCAGTGCAAGATCATCACAAAGAACGGTATTTGTTCTACTCGACATTGCAGGTAATTCACTCTTTGGTTTGCAATTCGAAGCCGCGGATGAAAAAATAAAAGAAACAAGTAAGGACGAGCTCGGATGTAACCGAACATTGCATACTCTTGCAACTCTTTCAAATTTCACTAATATATTTCACAGATTGACCGATATTTTCGATAAAAAGTTCGCAATTGGAACTGGGAACCACATATTCGGTATCTGGGGCTTGTAGTCCAATTTTAACTATTTTTTTTTATCAAGTTTCACATTTTAAAGGCACTATTCATACAAAGTTTTATTCCGATGCATTGATTGCTGCTTGATTTGTATAATGGAAAATGAAAGAATGAGATGAAATTTAAATTGTGTTATTTGGAAAGTAGGCGTAGTTGTACTTGTAGTCAGATTTCGCTCATTTTCGCACTGTAAGATAGGAATGTTAGGGTAATGTGATGTACCAAATTTGGTTGAAATTGGTCAAAGTAGGTCCCGAGATATGGGTCTTCACCT